AGAAAGCTGTTGCTTCTGGCGAAGAGTAAACCGCAACGTGAAAATAAATGTCTCTTTCGGTTCGCTAACAAGCATCATAACAAGTGACCGAGGGTGACTTCCGTTAACACTCCCTGAAACATTGTTAATGGAACTTCATCAATATCTGTCCACGGAGAATAATTTTGACAAGTAAAGAGTAGCACCTATTAAACCCAAAGAACATTATGGGAGTGCTGCATATAATTTACATAATATAAGCCGAAAGCCCGTTGAATAGTGATTTTCACCAGTTTTCGTATCGTCATTCACGCGACAAATTTTACGCTGAAGCATCTCCAAGGGTATTAAATTTTCTTCCAACCCGGGGAAAACAGAAACATTCCTGCACCTTGGCTCTATAGCATCGTGATGAATTCAATCCTATAATCAAGAAAAATTGATGCACAGTCTAGCCGAGGGAGGAATCGAACCTTTAATCGGTGCTAATATATATCTGAGGTCAGTGTGCCAAACGAATCACGATGCTGAGATATGAAAGTATTATACCAACTGTCTACTGTTAACACTTCGTCATGGTCAAACCTACCTCTTACTGCTTTCAGCAACAGAGTATTCTGTAAGACCATACTGCCACTTGGTTTCTCTCTCTCACTTATGTACAATCCGTACAGGCATTTCATTTCAAATTGCTACTTATCAACTACGTCGAAGAAGTTTATTTCAATTTTGCGATCCCTTTATGCTAATAGCCGAAACCGAATCAGAGTTTACGGCACTTTGACGCCAGATTTCACCACGGAAAAAGGTGGGGTTAGAGTTGCATTATATTAAACTTCGTCCTAGATTTAATTTTTTAAACAGTCCTATCCTCTTGCGAGAATAGTGGCGTCAATTGGCTTCCAGGTGGCAGACTGCGACATTCGGATGTCGGTCGAGTGTATGCTGCCATAGTTCGGCAAGTTCTGCTATACGGTGCAGAAACTTGGCCATTAAGAAAACAAGACGAAGATGGACTGGCGGTTTGAACATCGCTATCTACGCAGCATGAATCTGGTGCGGCAGCCGGACGAGGAATACTGAGCTTCGGCGTAGAATACTAGATAATCTTGGTCGCCCACTGGAGCAAGTGGTCGACCTCCATAGATTACGCTGGTTGGGGCATGTGTTACGCATGTCACCAAATAGGTTACCACGGCGAGCGATGTTTGCCGAGGCAGGTGATTGAAAGCTATGGGTGATCAACCTAAGACTCAGCATGAGGGTATGAAAACCCTAACCAGGATTTTGGGTCACATAGACCTCGTTAGGCTCCCTGGATGGAGACCTCGGTATGATCGTAACCGGTGGTTATAGACACTGAGAGATACGGCTGAGTGTCATAAACAGTGGCGTTCGTGCATCTTCTCAATTTCTCTGCAACATTAATCCACTGAAATTCCCAATTAATGTCCGACTCCACTTTCAACTTTCCGATCTTTCTCCTACTGTTCATCGAAATGGGCAGCCAAAACCGTAGCAAGAAAGTGCATGCATGGTTGTNAAAACTGAACCTAACTGATTGTAAAAACTGAAACTCAAACGATGAAGATGTCAACTTTGGTATTGGTATATAAATCACTCGGTCTAGTTTCATTTCCAGCCCGATACTTTTCAATTTCAAATTGAAATAACATTCATATTTCAAATATGCCCGCAGCTTACTTTTTCACTACCCACAAGGTCTAGAGAACCGACCAAAACCAGGGCGAAACAAGTGAAGTGGTCATTATAGTAAAGTAATTGTCCGCCTATCAATCGTATTCTCCCCGTAGGAGCTTCTTTCTTGTCGATCTTTCAATAGTAACTAGAATTTCTGTAACACGTCAGATAAAACACACATGCGCTGGTCATCCTTTCAAAATATCAATAAGTAAGTAGCCTCAAAAAAATGGAACATCGAAAGTGATGATATCATCAATCAGATTGTGCTGGTCTTAGAAAAGACCGATTATTCGTACTCAGACTCTAAACAGAACCAATACATCGTTCTCCGGTTCAAATGTGCAATGTGTTTGCCGTTACAGTAGATTTTCAAAAACACAACTGTCCTGTGTAAAGCAAATCCGTGAGCGTCGAATCGCTTCCAGCATTGAAATCGGGACCTCTTGAAATATACATAAGTGATGTTTTTTCCTCATCCATTTTCTCCAGATTAGGACAGTATACTTTTCTCTATGAATAACCCTAAAGGAGTTAAATTCGGAAGCAATGATATGGGTTACCTTCCGTCCAATTCCCTGCAAAGTAAATATTTCGTCGAGCCCGTTGGTCGCAAAAGCTACGATGCGGGGCTCTATGCTGTTGGAAAAAGTTCCAAGATGGATAAAAACAAACTTCTCATGTCTGGAAAGTTTCTCTTTCAATTCAACGAAAAATCTGATAGCGTTAACCCTGTCTGAAAGAGAAAAAGACCAATAATTCTGAGAACGGGAGTGCCAAATACTACGTTAGCTTTCACGTCACCTTTTCATAAGGCAAAGGAGTTCGTCTTGTGTTAACTTAGGCCGTGGTGATGCGCTTTAATTTAATGACAACAGGAGGTCGATTTCCCAGGAAAAGAATATTTGCACATAACAGTGTTAACACTGGTTTATCAACAAACTGATTACAGAACTGCACCTACTGAGCACACTCTTCATGCCATACAGTTTGGACTTGTAGCTCTTGTATCTGTCTTCTCAGGATTGATCTAGTGGACGCAGGTGAAATCCGCAACATCCTGGCGGCTGTTCGAAAACAGAAGATTGGTTCTGGAACAGATAAATCTTTTAACGCGGAAATGTTACTAGTGGCAGCAGCTGTTATTGGGTTCCATTCAGTTTGCGCGGATGAACACCTACGTAAACCGGTGGTATTTGGACATTGTGGAAAACGACGGTTTCAAACTATCCGTATAATGAATCAATTATAAAGGGGTTGTGTTACCTTTAATAGGTGATAAATTGGGGGAAACTTATTTAAAACATCTGATGGTATGAGATGTTCCCCTCCTCGTGTTAACTTACTCCAACTGTTTTTAGACCTCTAAATAAGCAAATAACTGTGGATGTACCGTCCAGACGACCCTGATTGCACTTTTTACAAATTTTACTGGGAAGAAATAAGCTCAAGGGTGAGAAATAAGGTACACACAAAACCTGCAAGTGCGTTACAACGGCATACTCCACCCAAACTGATTATTGACAGGCAACGAAACAGTCTAATTCTCCAATCTGCTCTAAAACGTTTGGAAATTGTTCCAAATGATGTTTCTATTTTTCATTCCCACATGGTGAACAGAAGCAGCACTTTCTATAAAAATGAACTCAAGCTGTTGCATGGAAGTATTTTCTAGCACGATAATGTGATGCTTATATTCCGCATCTGCTGGTTATCGCCTCGTGCCTTCAAAAGGGTGGTGTGGTCTGTATACAACCGACTTAAACCTGGTAGAAATTTTGCCTAATTCTTNCTAATTCTTACTCGAAAGGCTCACCGAAACGCGGAACACGAACTCAAGACGTCTCTTGATCGGAGAATGGCTGATACAAATAGTCTAAATGAGTGAGTCCGAAAATGCGAAATGTTTTTCCTGCTTTGAGAATTGTGACACCTTTCATCGAATTTTTAAATACGTGCCCCTGAAAGCTTCAGTATGGTCAGGGTGGGTGTCTAGGGTTGCGGCAAGTCACCCTCCCCCTGCACCTTTAGAAATGCTTCCATTCGATCGAGTGTTTCAAACAGCCTCTACTGAGGAAGCCCTACTCACTGCCTTCTCGTGGCGGAGGTGTT